GTGCTTGGGAGAGCAACAGGCACAAGAGCAGGGCTTTTATCAGAAACTGAATTTTATTGAGAATGTAAACAAAACGGCAGTTTAATGGTTTTCAATAAAGGCTGTCCCAGAGACAGGAGAGGAAAAGGAGACACTATAGTGGGATGGGTAGCTCACACAACAGTTGTGGGTGGCGCCAGAAGTTCTACTCAGAGTACATCCATGAAATGAAGAAGCCTAAGTTAGTCATGTTCATTCATTTTAGTAGATCTACCATGAGTAGGAGTAGGAGTAATGTTGGACACAACCCAGAGCCAGACCACCCATGAGGCAAGGTGAGGGGACTGCCTTTGGTGGCAGGATCCACAGGGGCAGCAGATCTGGCCTTCAAGGAATGTATTACTGCTGCTGCTGTTGTGGCAGCAACAGCTGTGGCGTGCTCCTTGGAGGCTAAATCTGCCCCCCTCTTTGTTCCTGATGTAGATCTTCACTCACCTCTTCTTCCCTGGCTGGTGGAGAGGCACCATTTTGTGTGTGTTGGGCCGGCCCTGATACAACCCAATGACATGTGGTCAATTTTTCCGTCAAGAAAAATGCTACAGAATCTTTTAATGTCAGTATGAATGGCAATATCACCTGTATGTTGGACTGCAAAAACTGTTAGTCAATCTACCAGTATGACAAGCATATAAAGGCTGTCATATGCTCATTCCTGGGAAAGTGGAGATGTTTGCAATCTACTGTCATCAGTGGCCCAGCATTTAATAGGATTAATCATAAATACTCCACACACTTGCAATCAGTCATTCCATATTCAGCTGCTGAAAAAACATCTCCTTCATTCAAGGCCTCGTCAGTTCAGGGTCAGTTTGAAAATATCTAGGTCACATTCTGCCTTCTTGAGCAGATCTTTGCCAGCTTGTGAAGTAAAATGTTCAGTCTGCCATGGAAATGCATGACACTTCAAAAATTACGCTGCTCAGTGACTGAAGGATGCAAAGCACAAGCTGTCATTCTGTTTCCATGGTCTAGTGTGCCTGGGATTTGTTTGGGTTTTGGTTTGCTGTGGATTTTTTCCCCTTAGACCTTTCACCTATGCCAATATTACCACAGGAGTTATTTCAGAACCTCTATCAGCACACAGAATGGGGAGTGCATAAATATTAGGAAGCAGCCACACAATAAAAGGAAACAAATATTGGTGCAAGCATCCAATATACTTCTAGGACGTTGGTTTTTTTTCCTCCTCATCCTTCTAGCCAAAGGCTTCATTTTGGAGAGCTATTGCTCAGCAATAGACTTGCATGCTTTGTATGCTGAAGGTCCCAGGTTCAATCCCTGGCATATCTAGTTAAAAACATCTGGGTGAGAAAAAGACATCTGGATGACTTTGTTCCCTGAAACACCACTGCCAGTCAGAGAAAGCAATGATGGGCCTGACCTTGTAAAGGTGGTTTCCTATGCAATGAGGCTTCTATGCAAGGGTGCACCTGCAACTGCCTTTTATCCCTGGAAATCAGAAGCAATTTGGGTGCCTAGAGGCAAGTGTGTGTATGTGGAAGTGCACATGTGTGAATCAGGCCACATATTGATAAAGAAGAAATTAGCATGAAAAGCATCTTTGTTGATGTTTCGGAGAGATACTAGGAGAGTTGAAATGGCCGCCTTTACATATACATTCAATTCATGGAGGCAGGGGGAGGGACTTTGCCTGTTGGCCCTGCCCCCACTGTCATATGCATAGCTGTCAACTTTCCCCTTTTCTTGCGATGAATCCTATTCGGAATAAGGGAATTTCCCTTTAAAAAAGGAAAACGTTGACAGCTATGGTCATATGCTGTACTATCTTCTGACGTGCATGTATTTCAAACTTTGCACTGAATGTATAAATTTCAGTAGGTGAGGCCAGTGGGGGTGGAGCTAGAGGACATGGTGTTGTACATCTCCTTTCTGTGTATGTGGTGTATTCAGTAGTAGAAGTAGTAGTAGTAAGAGTTTTAAAATGTATATCCTGCTCTTTCTCCCAGAGGAGCCCAAGGTGGCAAACACACAAGTGACAAAACAAAACACTGAAAACCAATTCAAATACACATGCAAACTGTATAAAAGTTACTGTATTCCACTCTTCCATGCGCCATTCCCCTCATGGGCTGCATTGAAATGCTTAATAAATGTCCTTTTGTCCCAGAGCCAGGATTATTAATTGGTCTCGCAGGGTTACCCACATGAACCGTTTTCATGAGCCCTGATCTTCAATCCTGTTTGCATTACTTCCTTAGAAAATGGGAATGAAGAGCTGTGTATACACCATACATTTAAAGCACTTTTAAAGCACATTGCTTCCCCAAAGATTCCCGAAAACTCAAGTTCACCCCTCACAGTGCTACAGCTTCCAGAACCCTGAACAAATCTCAGTTCCCAGGATTCTGGGGGAAGTCACATGCTTTTAGATGAGCTTTAAATGTATGGTGTGTATGCAGCCTTAGTGACTTATCTCAGAAGGTTTTGGACAGAATATATGAGATGATTAAATATCACTTTCCTTTTTAGGTAAGGGGGAAAATCTACATTCATTTCCTCTGAGTACATTGCTTTATTAACTTAGAAGATTAGTAATACTGCAAAATCAATGTTGGGAGGACACGACTGCAGTGAAAAGCAATCTTCTTTAACCTGTATTCACAGGAGATTATGACACTAATTGAAATGGAACAAATAAGTAGGGGCCAGAGATATGTAAACTGTTGATTATACCCAACCAAGTTCTCCTCAGAGTAGACCTGCTGTAATAAATTGACCTGAGATATTCATGGACATTAATTTACATGAGTCTGTTCTTAGTATGACTAATGTTGAAAGCAAGCCTGTAACTTCACCTACCCAGTGAACATGCCACTTTTAAATTAAAAAGACTTACTATTATCTGGGGCAGCATGGAAAATAAATAAGGTGACAATTTCAACCCATGTTTTAAGAATACGTATTTTCATATTTAATCCCCAGCTGGAATCTTTGCTGCCTGCCACAGCTGCAGCCAAGTCATCTTCTGTCATCCCTGGGTGAATAGGATGTCATACCTGTTGCTTTTGGAAGTGAACCTGGAAATTGTCCTTATTGTCCTTTCCTTCTATGGTTGAGGGCTCATGCTTACAGGCTGGATAATGCCTTGCTTAATGTCACACACAGCTAAATCGCTACTGACTGATCTCTGCTTCATGTAAATGGCTTTGCAGCAGAGTTATTTATTGCGAGGAAGCGACGAATGACTCCTGTTTGACCAGTGAATTGACTCCACTGCAGCGTTCACAGCAGGTCCAGTGAACCACTAATGGGTTGTTTGCTGCAGGGAGCCCAAAGTATTTTGACACCTGAGGCAAAATCTGTTGCCTGAGGCAGACTGCTTTGCCCTGTTCGATAGAAAGGCCGGCACTTGTTCATTAGTGTGTTTTGTTGCAGCTGAGGGTCAGACAGTTCCTTCAGATGCCTTTATTGGAAAACATGCAAGCTGAAAGTTAACTGCTTTGAATGGACCCACCCCACTTCTTTTGAGCTATGAGACATTATCATGTGGAAGGAAGCTTGTGGAAGGAAGTTTGTGGCATTTTATAATATTTGAGTTTATTTTTCAAGCATATGCGCTGAGCATAGGTGGAGGCGCAGTTTAAACAGACAGCCAGAGCCGCTGCTTTCATCATATTTCCAGAGAGGCAGCCACCACCCCAAGATACAGTTTAGCTTACAGAGTCCTAAAACTCACACCTCTCTCTTTTGCTTCCTCTGTATCTCACTTGAAAGTTGCTTTTCTATGGTTTCTTTTTACATTCTGACCTAGCAGGGAGTGACTATTGGAATGGGTGACTGTCAATTTCCTCCCAAATTTTTCCAATCTTAAATTCAGTTTTCCACATGTTCACATCAGTTTGTGATATTTTTTAAAGTCCTCATGAACATTTTCTTAGCATACACATGCTTATATGCAAGTTTCCCTAATTCACACATTCTTGCAAAGCAATTTTCCATCACAGTGTGTTTGGGTATGCTATTCTTTTATCTTTATTTCTTTTTTACTAGTATATGCACTTTTATGGACACTTTCCTTTAGTATCTTCTTCTTTGGCAATCTCTTATGGCTGAGTAAGATTGTCTTCCATGAATATGGTCTTAAGAGTGTGTCTGTAAGTGACTGTGGAGGCCAATTCTGCATCCTTCCACAGTGGGGATATAGGTTTCTGGGCAGGAATTGATGACGGTGAGGATTTGCCAAATGTGCCTTCCTCTTAGTTCACTTCTCCTTTTCAGCCCCTGAGTTCATTCTTCTTCCAAGTCCATGATGTCTTTGGTAGAGGCTATTCTCCAATTGGAGCACTTGCAAGCCAGTGTTTCCCAGTTGTCGGTGTTTATATTACATGTTTTTTGGATTTGCCCTGAGAGCATCTTTAAACCTCTTTTGTTGTTCACCAGCATTATGCTTTCCATTCTTAAGTTGGAAATAGAGTACAGATATACCTTGGAAGTCGAACGGAATCTATGGAATCCATGGAACAAACTTGGGTGAGCAGAGTTCTAAATTGCACAGGGAGATTCCATGCATAGGGAAGACGTCCCACTGCAGATATTATAGTGTAAATGATTGTCTCAACTTTTGGGGCAGGAGGAGGAGCATAATTTTGGAAGTGGGGCTAAACACAGATCTGTACTATATGTGTGAGTAATGCATGGACTGAGTTTGAAACTGATTGCTCTGTTTTAAGTTCAGTGGAAGGACTTTATCTATTTCACCAGAAAAGCTCTTCAAAAAACTAAAATACATTTTTTTGAAAAGAAAGGCTAAGGTAGTTTGCCTGGTGATTTATGGGCATAAAAATGTTCTTTCATGATAAGATTGTTTAAAATATCATCTTCAGGAACTGAAGATAGGGAGTGATTATTTAGCCAGGACTAATCTGTGTAGCTGGTAAATAGAAGTGCACCTGAAAAATGGTGAAAGAGAAAGTAGGTCATGTTTCTACACCACTTTCCCCCTACACTGGAAGAGTACTGTAGCCTTATTAAACATGACTGAGTTTTGCTGTCTGTTGCTGTTTCTAATTACAAGTGATGACTAACTACTCATTCTTATAACATTTTGTAAAAAAAAAAAAGTAAAAAGAGAAAGACTGGAAGATGAAGAGGAACTGTTAATTATGCATGAAGGAAAAGAAAGGGGGAGAATAACAAGGAGAAAAAATGCAGAGAAAATGGCAAAAAGCCAACGATTGCTGAAAAATGTGAAGTGTAAGTACAATAGGTATCACGTATTTTCACTTCCATACAAAATTGTCCACCTGTTCCTAGCCTGTGGTCTGTCCTTGAACCTGTCCTTGCAGCTAGTTGAAGGAGCCTCCTTCAAGTGGCACCATCAGTGGAGGAGACTTGATGAAGGTAGGAATTAGTGTCTGAATAGTGCAGTAAGGATCCCTCCAGATATCATTTCTATTATAAAGTCATGATTATATATGCGCATGCTATTATCAGGGTGGTCACACACAATCCCGCCTTTGATACTGTTTGTGCCTGCAAATGTTTGAGGTTGGTCACCCTTCATTTGAAATCAGTTCTTCTACCATAACTTCCTTCTTGAATCCCTAACTGTTCCTACCACAAATGTTCTAGTTTGTTTTTCTCCTTCTTCTGTTGTGCTATGGCCCCTCCACACAGCAGGAATGTGCTAACATTGGGGCAACATCACAGAACAAAACAAAAGCAGAATAAATCCACCACTAATGGGTCATTATGGTATCAAGAACATGTTGCAGAAGACACTCACAACAGAACAACAGTGTGGAGGGGCCATCAGACTTTTTCAAGCATTGGCTCTACCAGGTGGAGGTACATACCCTTAGGATACACTTTAGGTAGCAAAATGTCCTAGACTGGTACTGTCATTGTCACTTATGAACTTCCACAGCCAATAGAAGCACCAAGTTTTTAATAAACAGGTGACTATTACGTGGCATCTCAGGAGCTCCCTTCCATTTTCTTAATCATTTGTTTTGGAAATACATGCCTCACTTTCTCCTAAATAAAATGCTCTAGTAGGAAAGCATATTGTGTTCTCTGGCAAACACATTATAGTTTCATCTCATTCTCTCTATGCCCGAACTAAGCTGTCCACATCTCCATTCAGGTCACTGAGCTGGGAGTGAGGGAGTGCCTAAGTGGTGTCCTTCAGGACAACCATCTCCCTTAATAATTTATTGTAGTGATGTAGAAATAATGTTAATTAGAATTTACATGAGGAAAACTAATGATTGTAACAAATTAAAGCTAACCATATAATGCAATTAGCAAAGCATAACACGAGTAGAAAAAAACAAATTCATTCTAACCAGCGAATGATCAACACATGAAAAGTTAGGATGAAACAGTTTCTAAAATGTTTTGAGGTTGCAAACGTACACAAAATGCTTAGTGGTGTGTGTGTGTGTGTGTGTGTGTGTGTGTAGACACTTCTTGTTTGAGATTGGAAGGTTTTAGGACAGTGATGGAGATAGGAGTGTCTAGTGTGTAGGGTGATGTCATGGGGCTTCTCTCCCAATACTAGTGTCATTGTCACTTAACAGGATAGTGCAGGGGTGGGGAAAGGCATTGGTCAAGGCAGGACTGCATGGATTCTCTGGCAGAGTTTTTCCTCACCTATGAATAATTGGCATCATTTCCTATGTGTATGGCAACAAACCTTTCAAATGTTGTGTATTGTATGGATATCCACTTGAGGAAGGTTTACAGCTCGGTGGTAGAACATCAGGGAGGCCTGGGAATGTCCCATACGGGAAGACAAGCTGAATTTGACAAGGTGCAACGTTCAAAAAGCACATACGCACACTAGATTTAACACCGATAGGCTCCATCAGAACATTGCACATTGTCACTTTCAACTTGTCTTCTGTGGGCATCAGCACATTGGGCCCAATCAATACTTGATTCCTGTATTTTTCCTCTGATATTACCTATGCAAAACAAACCTATGAAACTTTTCCTATTTGAAATCCCTATTCAAATGGTATTCAGAGCCTATCATCCCTCCAACTGGGATGCCAAAGGAAGGAAAAGTGTGCTGGGTGGGATAAAGGAAGGCAAGACATGCTGCCACTCTCCATCATATATGCCTGAGATTGACCCAGGGTAAATATTGTCTGATCCAGACCCATGGTTCTTTGGCTGGAACAAACATCAATGCTATTGTAACACTGCAAGAGTTCCCGCTTGAATTTCCATTGCTTTCTGGGATATTCTAAAGAAAAGATGAGGCAAAAGTAGGAAGAGTGGCAGTTGGAATAAAATATGAAGTCAGTTCCTTGGGGATATAACCTTTTCCAAATACCAATTAACTTGAACTTCAATATGAAGTTAATTTAAGAGTTTTATTTCTCTGTGGGAAAAGGAGGATATATGACTGGTTCAGATTGCATTTGCACTAAGTTACCTTGAAGGGCGTTATTCCCGGTTTAGTCCTGTGAACTTCAAAATAAGAGCTGGTGTGATTAATAGAAGGGAAAAACTGTAGAACTTGGTAGCCACATAACTGGTGGCATATCAATTAATCTTAAACTGAAGCAAAACACCACACTTTCAATGTTGTTAGAAGATCTTACAAGTGAATGTTTGCATTTTATAGTTTCTGCTTTCCATCTATCGTTTTAAAAAAGCTTTAACACCTATTTAATTTAACTAGCAGCGTCAGGCTCATGAGTGTGTTCTCATGATGATACGGAAACATGCCTTGAATAAATACTTTATGTGATTTTTCACAGTTAATAACCAAGCGGGTTCAAAGAGATTTCAGAGAACAGAATATGAAACATCCATGTCATCTCACAACACAGGGGAAGAAGCAGCTTGCCAGCCTAGGTCTAAAAAGAACATGATCTGAAGCCACAGGATACAGCAACCTTCCTATCCTAGGTCTAGATCTGGTTATTTTCTGAATAAGAGGCAACCTGGGAATCACATATATGCCACTTTGAGTTCCATAATGGAGGTAGTACAGGACAGTAAAATAAACAATAGTATGCAATTATCGTGATTTGTGGTGGGGCAAGCAAGAATATACCCTGGAGTATTAGGAGCCTTGAGTAATTTTGCACTTCATAACTGCACAATCTGCATGTTTACTCAGTAGTAGGTAAAGGATCCCTGGATGGTTAAGTCCAGTCAAAGGCGACCATGGGGTTGCGACTCTCATCTTGCTTTCAGGCCAAGGGAGCCGCCGTTTGTCCACAGACAGCTTTCCAGGTCATGTGGCCAGCATGACTAAACTGCTTCTGGCGCAACAGAACACCGTGACGGAAATCAGAGCACACGGAAACACCGTTTACCTTCCTGCTGCAGCAGTACCTATTTATCTACTTGCACTGGTGTGCTTTCGAACTGCCAGGTTGCAGGAGCTGGGACAGAGCAACGGGAGCTCACCCCATTGTGTGGATTCAAACCGCCAATCTTCTGATCGACAAGCCCAAGAGGCTCAGTGGTATAGAGTAGTAAGTTCCACTGTGTTGAATGTGTCTTACTCTTAGGGAAGTGTACATATAACTGAAATAAGAAAGTCTATTCATCAAGTCCCTGCATCCCATGGAACCATCTCTTTTACGTTTCTGTTTCATTTTGTTGTGTATGTTGATGCCTGTTTAAAAGTGCTGTGTATTGATCCTTGTCAGCACCATCTGCCTGTGTCTTGGATTAGTCTGTCCATTGTCTTGTAATTACTAAAAAAAAATCTGGGTTATTTACCTGTAAAGATTAAATCAAGGACCATTAGATAGTAAAAGAAACACAGCCTAATGCTTTAGATTATGTTTCTACAAATATAATTAAATCCTGTCCTTGGTTTGTTCATGTCTCAGTAAACTAATTGCATTTAGTCCAACACTTGCTTGAAGACTGCACAAAATTAAATTAATTTCCCCAGCATTGAACTGTAGGGGGACAACATATATTAAATCGCTTAACTATTCACTCTATTGGCTCTGAAGGTAGAATTGCATTAGAGGTGTTTGTACATTCAATAAAAGGAACAATTAAAGCAATTATATCTAACTTACAGGTACACATACCATTAGCAGTACATCACTTGATCGTAGCATTACAGTTCAATTAACATACATTGTCCTTAGATTTTCAGAGAATTAATAGGACAGAACTGCTAGGAAATGTTATGGCACGTTATTGCTGAAGTTTAAAAGTCCGCTAATGTCTATCTACATGGAAAACAATCTTGAAAGATCAATGGATAAAGGAGGAATATTCCATGGGTCATGGATAATTGGCAGAAAGATGTGTCATTGTAATCCTAGGCTCAAACATAAAGCAAATGGGCAGGACTCATTTTAAAGAGAATCGGAACCTTCGCAACTACAGAAACGTTCTCTATTTGCCATTCTCTTCAGGAACCAATAGATCTTTGTACTTCTGCCACGTATGGTGAACAACCAGGGCTACAGACATACACTCCAACATTACTCAGATGAAAATAGGGACATTTCTCACACTCCCAGACCTTCCTTCACACCCCATTTTTTGTGTCCCCCCCCCGCCATCTGTAGAGCATTTTCTATGAGAAGAAGGGTGAGTGCCACCACCACTTACACCAATAGGACACAGCACACACACCCTCTACTGTCCTGAGAAAAATGCCTTAATCTGAATTTTGTTTTAGTTTATTCTTAGTTAGATTTACAAAAGAAAAGCATGCACCAATAAATAAAATTTAGAAAGAGGCAAGATTAGACATAGATGCACAAAGCATTTTTTAAAAGACTCCCTGCTCCACTCCCCCCTTTTTTCCGTGCCCTCTGCCTCCCCCCCCCCCCAAGCCAGTACATCATGTGGGGCTGGGTGGCAGCCTCTCCTCCTTGCCTGCCTTCCAGCAGCCACTACAAGTTGCCAAGGGAGGAGGCAGGCAGCGGCGGCCATGGAGAGGCAACAGAATGCTTCCTTGCAGCCACAGCAGCTACCATTGTTGGCACTCAGGACAAGCACCGGTTCATACTCCTCCCAAGCTTGGTGGCAGTGGTGATGGGAGGGTAAAAGGGACATTCCAGAATCAATTCAGAAGCCAGGATGGCCTTTGTAATTCTTGGACTGTCCCTGGAAAATAGGGACACTTGGAAGGTATGCTACAACTGGGGTGTTCCCTGGATAGCAGAGGGTTCTACCTTACCTATTCAGACTAGGCATTTTCCCGCTTTGCCTTGCCCAGGGTAGGTCATATCTACCCCATACATTTAAAGCACATTGTTTTACCCAAAGCATCCTGGGCACACAAAAGGAGTGCGGGGGGAGCGCACCGCCCCTCGGAGCACGATCCCAGTAGGGTGCCATCATGGCTGTCCCCCCGCCCACACTGGGCGCCATGCCCCTGCGGGCACCATGCCATGCCCCCAGGACATGCGCCAGCCCCACCCCCACCTCCTCTCTGCCCCCTGGTGCCGGAGCACGAAGCTCTGCCACTGCCTGGGCACTGTTGTTTGTTGTGCTGCAAATCTTAACTTTGTGAAGGTAAACTGCAGTTCTCAGGATTCTTGTGGGCCATGGGCAGCCATGTCCTTTAAATGAATGGTGTGGATGTGAACATATTATAAAGTATAAAGGAAACAGCAGCTCATAGAGGCATCTTTCAAAACATAAGTAGCAGTGGCTAAGAAGGCATTTTTGTAGCAGAAAGAGAGACTTAAACTTATCTTTTCCCATTCCACATAGGCCTGAGGCTGCTCAGGTTTTTGTAGGCCTGCTATTCACATCACAAACATGTTGGTTGATTGCATTCATGCAACTGACATCACATCTAGTCCAGATCTTATAGTCTAGGAGAGGCCTTAAGAAAGGTATAGAGAATTTTGAGATGTAAAATAATAGTAATAAAAAAACAGGCAATGGTGCAGCAAGATATATATTATAACAGACAGGTGTCAGCAGAGCTAGAGGGAGTAATTCCTGACTGCTTGGCAACTGACAAAATGCTCAAAGCATTTTGATATGTGAGAAGCTTTGGGCATTCAGGACCATAATATTTCTCAGAAAGAAACATGCTATGGGATGTGGAATATTAATTGTTAGAAATTCATAGAGACAATCGTATCATCCAAAGTCCACGCCTGTAGACGAGTTGAAGGCAAAAATTATTGCCTTTCTCTGGAACCCATAATTCTTTTATCAGCTTTCCTCTGCTAGGCACCATTTCCCATAATGCCACACTCAACTGCTAACGGTCATCAGTGTCAAATATACACAGATTCTTCAGTGTTATCAAGAAATAAATATTAGGATAGCTTTAAGTTTGGTTGGAAACTATGCTATGCATAATGATTTCTCAATCCCTGCAGTTTGATGGCATCTCTGCAAACCATCTTCTCTTATCACTGACTCAGAACCAATTTATATGCACATCTATGTCATTTTTTTAACTTCCAGGATTCTACATTTTTCTTCATAGCTAGAGGATCACCTTCAGGTATGCCATTAGAGTACCTTACACCTCCAGATTTTCATAACTTATCAATATATAAAGTACAATGTACATATGCATGCAACAATCTGAAAACCAACCCCACAACCTCTGAAATGAACCTACCTTTATTTCATATAAAAGATGCAATTATTCATACTGGAGTGGGGAACTGGATTCAGCGGGCAGACCAGATCATGACCTTCTCAGTCCCCACAAGCTATTTTGAGGGGTGGGTGGGGCTGTCCACATACCAATCACCTGACATTACCCTGATATCAGGTGACATATTCTCCTTTGTCTGTGTTGTTTGAGTTCAAATTCTGCAGGCAAAGAAAAACACTTCACCAGATGTCCTGGTGAAATCAGATGTTGGACAGGTGGGCAGCCTCTCAAAATGGCCCTGCATGTGTCCCACACCCTCCCCAAATCTGTCCCGGCAGTTTGAGGAAACCCCTAAAACAGATTTAGGGCACACAGGAAAATGAGTTGCAGGGTTGGGGGGGCGGAGTCCCATTACATAAGTGGAAATCCTTGCAGAAATAGGATGTCTTAGTTGGATACAGCCCTATTTACCATCAGGTTTAAGATCCAGACTCTAACAATTGTTCTTATGCATAATTTGTTTCAGACAAAGCCACGTTCTGGCAGGCAATCAATAAACTCCAGACATGCACCCCAAATGCTTTCACCCACTTTAATCCCAAACTGATCAGGCTCTGTCCCCAATCTACATGATGCTCCACTTTTGTTGCTTTTCAAATCGAAAGTTAGCAACTCTGTGAATGATTTGTAATATTTTTTAGGAAACAATTGTATGTATTTCCAAACGGTCAGCTCTTGCAAGGGGACATGGCCTTGTGAGATTGTCAGCTTGTCTTTCTAGAGCAATCACATTTGCATAAGCTCTCTCAGTTCCTCCATAATCCTCTGAATTTCATTGGCTTATCCTTCCTGAGCTTTTGCTCTCAATCCTTTAAGATTTACCTGTCTTTTCCTATTAGTCTGGCTAAAATAAATGGGAATATTCATGATGGGGTTGAAATATGAATTTCTCCGCATTTATATTCACAGCTCCACCCCATCTTCCCCCTTCACCTACTTTCACCGTGTCAGGCCACATACTGCAGCTTGCATTTTCACTCTTCACCATTATCAAGGCAACTTTAGACAGAAGCACCGCTTCAAAATTGAACAGCGATTCAGAGGGACATACGGTGGAATCACATTATGTTTTCACAGTGTGTGCTGCTATTTGGGTAGTTCATTGATAAGCAGTTTTCTTGTTCCGCCACACTGGGGCATTGTTTGTTGATAAAATATGCCAAAATCCTAATAATGCAGACAGGTGAAGAATATGCATGTAACAAACTGCTCAAGCTTGGGAAGATTTACTTTAGTCTTGATGATCAGTGACAAAGAACTGAATGATGCTTTTGAGGACAACAGCTTCTGCTAGGCTGAATAAGTCAGGGAAGAGGGAATATTCATGGAAAGCTTTTTCTTTCCACCCTAGCATTCTTTCAAAATAGCCTGATGTGTACACTGGA